CTCAATTTTATCTGGATTTTTTTTTTTTAGCAGATCTTTTTAAATTACAGATGAAAACACAGTCCTCATTTTCTGCTTCTGTTGAATAAATTCCCTGGCCTTCCATGAGTCATAAAGGAAGTGAATCTCCTCTCTCTCATTAATTGTGTACTAAAATGGAGGCTTTATTTTTATCAAACAAGTAATCTTGCTGGTGTTACGCTGAGACTTCTATGCCCACCATAGTATTCGCTGAGACAAGTACGTTTGGTACTGCACGCCCCTGTATGCCCATATATGTTCTTTCGTGCTGTGTGTTGTCTGTCAGACAACGGAAGAAACTGTGAGTGCAGGACAGTGCAGGATGTATTTTCGGAATATGTCATATAGTGGACTGGTCCTATCCGTAGGGACTCAGAAGTTAACTGGAACTGTGTCTGTTAGCCAAATCCTTTGTGCCATACAGAAGATTGTACTTGAAGCATGAGATTCTTCTGGCAATCTTTCTTCTATATTTACATGGGAATTAAACTTTTTTTCCCCCACAAGGATAGTCAGGCGAAAAACTCCAGTTGGGTGTCCCGGGTTTCTGATGTTCGTGGGCGCGTGTGTTGTACGTCTCCTTACGCCAGAACTCCCAGCCGCTGAAATGCTGCTGGTGGTGGAAGGAGGTTTTGGTGGACATAGCTTTAAAGCTGGTTCTTGAACCTGTCTTTTGGTACCAGCTTTACATCACATTGCTGGGTTTGTGGGTTAACAAATAGCCTGATTGTCACTCTGTTCCTTATATTTAATGATTGTTAGTTAATAAAGTCAGTGCTCTGTACTCTGCCAGTTAATCGCTACCCCGTGAACTCTTGCAGGGGCAAAGGACTCGGGCTAATTGACAGAAGTTTATTTAAAAAGATGACATTGAATCTTCTACATATCAGCCAAAATATTATTGAATTTCTCTAGAAATGGGAGTTTATTTTTGTAGGTTAGGATTTGGGGGTTTTTTAAGGTGAATTAATTTTCTGCCTTTGTACTGCAGCTACCAGTCGTTTTTCTCTGCTGCAGATGCCAGATCTGCACCCAGCCTGGTCAGTAAAACAAACACAACTGCTCGGAATAGTGGAACGTGTTAATTCAAGCATTTATGTGGGCAGGTGTTTCCTTCTGAGTTTCCGTGTTTGAAAGGCGTGACTGACAGCACCCAGCGAGAGCAGAGCCCGGCTTCGCTGCTAGTCTTGGTGCTAACGCTCACCTGTCAAGCTAGGGGAGCGTATCCCAACGGAAAGCCGTGGGTCCCAGTCGAGTGTCTGTCATCTCCCTGGGTGGGAAAACACACACACATGTCGAGTCTGAAAGCCACAGCAACTCTTGTCTGGTTTTTGTTCTCTTGACACAGGTTTTCTTGGTGCTAACCTTAAAGCTCGCTCGTCCTGTTTCCATAGAAATGCTGGTTTGCGTAGAAGCCCCAGCTGCCTCTTGTCTTCTCGCGTGTCCCTGCCGAAACAGAGGAATGAATGGTCAGCTGTGTTGTGAGATAAAAGAAATGGGCTTAATACAGTAAAAAAGATTTGAAAGCAGCGTTGAAAAGTGAACTAGTTCTAGATTCAGTAGAATGGAGATAAAGGCAAATTTTCTGATCTTAAAAAAACATTGAAGAGAAGCTAGAAATTAGTCTGTCTGTCATTGACGTGAGCTTCTGAGTACAGAGAGGAAATCAGATAAAAATGTCAAGACTTTTCGCACTGAAAGAAGAAATGATCGAGCCACTTCTCTGATGGTATAATATTTGGCTTAAAGAAACACAAGGAAGTACCTTTCCAGATAGCCCTCAAAATGCATTCAGCATGCAGCAAGAGCATTAGGAAAATGAAACGAAAGAAAAATGCTTCAGGGCAAAATGAAAAAGGTGTGTGATTAACTGAGGTAGATGAGTGTGTGCATTTCTGCTTCCTTATTTTTAAGAAAAGTATGTTCTTTGTATTCGTCCTCCCCAACCCTTCACAATGGTATTTGTGTTTTGGTAGCCTTTAAGGCACAGAAGCAGCTGTGTGGGGTTGTGCAGTGCCTAGTGCAGTCCTGACTCGGTACCTGGCCATTACCATGTCTGTACTAAATAACCTGACTCGTCTAGATTCTATCTAGATTCTACATACAATGCCTGATAATACACGTAAAGAACCATTTCTGTAAGCATAAAAGGATGTTTCAGTTGTAGGAGCTTCAGGCGATGCAGCTTTAATCAATAGTATTTATGTACTTAATTGCTCAGAGCTTCCATCAAACTCCCAGTCGTCTTTTCTCTTTCCTTACTCAGTCTGCCTGCTCCCACACCACACCGCTTGTTCAGAGCAGTTCTGTCTCCCTCCCAGCTGTCACTGCACTGTGCCTTTCCACCAGTTGTTTTTGGGTGCCAGTCTCATCGTGTGTGCTCCCTGCAAAGTGCCAGATGTGTTGGCAGGCCGGCAGGACTTATTTTTATATGCAGTAAGGAATAGTTTAGCTTTTGTGCCATCAGTTAGCTGCAGTGAGACAGTATAGTCATGGTTAACTTTAGTCATGCAAGTTCCACTTAATGCAAAATGATTATGAAGCAAATTCCCTTTCTGTGGAAGCTTTTAAAGCAAGAGGAAAATGCAAGAGATAATTTAATGTGGAGCTTGTGTTCATAGGTCAGAATAACCAGATAGTGCCTTTTTTCCAGGCTGTTAGCAATAAAAGAACAGTTGCATGTGGTAAAAACAGTATGTTCTGGACTCCTTGCCAGTATTAAAAAAGGGGGGGGGGGTTCGTGTATGTTGGAAGCATTTGTGAAACAAGACTGCAGGTGAGAGGTGTTCCATAAGTAGCAATAACTCCTGTATCTAATAGTAATTCTGTGAACTGGTAAGGAATTAAGATTTTGATGGGATGTAGAATCATTTACTCAGGCTTCTTAGAATTTCTTTGAAGAATGTACACATTTATCCAGAGATGTTTTTGCTTTGCCAGCTCTGCCCAAATTTTATAAAACAGACTTCTCTTCAGGAACAGACGTGTTTTCCCTGATAATGTTAACCAGACTTGTGGTGAGGCTGGCCACAGAGGCATTCAAAACAAGTCATAATTAATCTGAACCACCTTATTTTTCAGATGGCACCTGGTACTGTGAGCAGAAACCAGCTAGTGTACCCTAATACATAGTTCAGAATAAAAAGGTTCAAATAATATATATATATTAAAAGCTGTGAGTGCATAAAAAATATATTCAAAACAGAGTGTTAAGTTCTGATTTCAGCAGAAAAAAGTTTGAGGGACCAGCTGCTACATACATCACCAACAAATATTTTTTCCTTAAAAATTATTGTAGTTGGGAATCTGATGTTTGTAATGATGTATCAGTATTGCATAATCTAATGTTTGTTCATACCATCATTATTCATTGCAGTAAAGTCGCACCTGACGTGGTGTGAGTCAACCCAAAGGTCATGTTGGAAAAGTGTTTTTTAGTGTTTGAGTTGCTATTATGTTATGTTTTATTGCATGTTTTTGGCTTGTAGTCTAGTAAAACGCACACTGCTTAACCTATGCCAGTACTTGGAAATAAAGATGCTGCTTGCTCAGGGGTCCCGTTCCGCGTGAAAAGGAAATGCTCGTCTGCCTGAACTCTGTCCCCCCGTCTTGTGACTAGGAGGGTTATGGTAACCGGGAGGTTGTGACTTCGTAAATACCATGAAACTCTGCTTCAAAGGCATTTAATGAAAGCTAAATCCTATAATTGAAGGGCTTGTTCAAATTTTTACCGTTCTGAAGGTGTGTGAAAGAGCAATGAAATGCTGTAAAACTCTAGTGTGGAAGGGCTGAGTGACCCTGAAGTCAGGAAGCTTTGTTTTACTGCGCAAAGTTGAGCAAACGTAGAAATCAAACCCAAATGGTCTGTGTCAGTGAACACTGAAATAGTGCTGGAATGTTGTTCTGTCCAGTTCCTATTAACGTTGTCAAGATTTATACTGGAAATTTTCTTTTGATCTGGACTGAGAGTCTTATCTTTGGTCCTGTGCTGCATCCTTCGCTGCAGTAGGGGTTGGTCGTCCTGATGAGCTCTGTTCTAGTTTCTGGTTAGCCTTGAATCCGCTGACTTTTGGCATTGTCTGCAAAGATTAATTTCAGGTGAGGGCTTGATATTCCTCTTAAAATGAATAGCTTTTTTTCCCACCAAACTGAGAGGCTGGGACAAAAATCAAAAAACTTGTTTGTATGTAAAGTGTGTGTATACACAGGAGGAGTTAGGTATAGTTCTGCTGCTAATGACCTTATATTTGAATAGAAGAGAAAATGTGCTTGGCGGATGATTAGCAATTGATTCATTATCTTTATGCTGGGCCTGTTCCTTGGTGAACTGTGCGTTTAGGAAATAACGTGGATACAGTACATTTAAAGAAGGACCAAAGTTTTGGGCTGGGATCTCTGGCTATGTTTTGAATGGTTGTTGTTGCTTGAAATACTCTTTTTAAGTGATTAAAGAAGTTACTGCTAGCATTGATTATCATTTCTTAAATTTATAATCTTGCTTAGATGCATTTTGATCTTACGCTTTTGGGGGAAAAATGTGGTTCAAAGCTGTTAGCTTCTTGAAGTTAGCTGTGCTTTAATAATGTTCTGGGGTTGCAGTAATCTTCATTTTCAGGGGATGACTAACGTGATGGATGAGAGCACGGTGTGCTCTTTCAGCTGTTGGCCTCTAGGATGAGACACTTTAAAAAACCATCAGAGAGCACGTGAGACATCTGGACTACTTGCACCAGTTCCTCGTGTAGACCAGAACATTAATTGCAATAACTTTTAGTCACCATTAGTGTTTATTTGAGAATAACGTTTTATCTGTAGCAAATCTTGTGAGCCCATTAGTCATGCTAAATTTTAAAGAAGTTTATGGAGACTATGAAGAAAACTGGAAGAGCTCACAATAACTTAAGAAATCTTGGCTGTATCTTGAACCTGATTGTTTCATTCTGTGCCGCAATTAGAATTTCCACAATCTCTGATTTCAGAGGATTACCCCAATGGGACATGGCTCGGAGATGAAAATAACCCTGAGATGCGGGTCCGCTGCCCCATCACCCCTGCTGACATGCTGCACATCAGTACGAACTGCCGCACAGCCGAGAAGATGGCACTGACGTTGCTTGATTATCTTTTTCATCGGGAAATTCAGGCCATCTCCAACCTTTCAGGCCAGGGGAAGCATGGGAAGAAGCAACTTGATCCTCTCATGATTTATGGAATTCGCTGTGAGTATAATACCAAAACTTTGGAATTTATACTGTGTGGATAAGGCAGAAACTGTCTGCTACTTGCAGTTAAGCTACGTTTTGTAAGAAGGGGGTATGTGTTGTTGCCAGACGGATGTTTTGTTAGCTTTTATTTCGGAAGGAATCCTAATGGACTGGTGTAGTTCAGTTTGTGGGTGCTCACCAGAAATTCCTCGATCTTGAAATCTGAATTCAGATTTCTTTGCAACTACCAGTTGTGAGTGGACCAAGTGTAGTAAATTTGGAGAAATATTACTTTCTCAGATAAAGGAACAAATAATAAAACAAATTACACGTATTTAAATATTGTTGAAGTATTCAAAACAGTATAGTCTTCAGCCTTAGTTTTTTACTTCCCATTTATGTGTATTATTTCAAAAGCCTTGCTAACACTGAGATGGAAGAAATTTGCAATCTCTGCTAAAGGAGAGGTGAAGTATCGTGAAGTCTGGGGATTCATAACAGGAATGCGTATGATGCTAATGTACTTCTGTCTGCTCCAGTGTGCAGGAGTCTTTTGGTTATTAAAGCTATTATGCAGTAATGAACAGATACATGGCAGATGCATTTTTTATTAATTTAAAAGGAATCACATGTGGTTTGCACGTAGAATAGAGTAGCATAGCCACTAGTTTTAAGCCAAAAGAATCTGGGTGTGTGCATCTTGCTCTGATCCCGTGACTTCTAGTAGAGAATTGCTTGGTGAATACATTGAGGACAGCCAAGTCTGTTCCATGCGCTGTGGTGTAAATATTTTCCAGTAAAGGGGGTAGGTGAAGGCCTCTGAAGCATCTGACACAAGTCTATGGCTCCTGTGTAATACCTCTGCTGTGCATGTAAGGAGGAAACAAATTTAAATGTTAGTGTGGAATTAAGGGAGAATTATGTAATGCTTAAAATGACCAACTTCACTAACTGAACTAGACTTTAATATACCAGTAGATCTCGCTGTTAAAAGATTCTTTATAGTCACATCTTATGTAGGCCACCAGTGGATTAATAGAGTGGGAATAATTTGCTATACTAGAGTGTTTTGTGTGCAATTGCCAATCTGAAATGCCAATGAAGGCTTAAGAACACAGCCAGAGAGAGCTTCTTTTGAATGACGTTTGAAGAATTTGATGTTTTGTTTTTATGCCTCTGTTAGGGCAATGTGTTTGATAGTTACATGGAAGAGAATGTGAAGACTGTGTGATGATGAGACTGCTGTGCTGTCTTTGCACTGAACTGAGCTGAGGAAATGCAGTCCCGTGGACCTGCTTTTCTTTCTGATAATTTGCTGGCTATCGTGGGAAATTGATAGGCAGAACTCACCCATTCGGTTTGCTGCTCGAGGCCAGGTTTTGTCTTGTTACTTGCCTGAAGCAGAAGACTTCAGGCTTCTACTGCAAATCTATTAAATATGTGTTTTTAAGGGAGATTATGATTCAGAGTAATTTTGATCAGCAAAACCTTTTTGCCTGTTGAGCTCATTAATGTAAATGACCTTGTTCCACTGTGTTTTTACAACTTAGATTTTTGTTGACAGTAGTTTTCAGAAACATGAAGAAATGATTCTTGCTCCATGTTAAAGCAAATCACTAGCAACCCTTTTCCCTATCCCTTAAATCTGTGAGCACGAATCGAAGAGTGAGTTTATAACTATTTGAGTAGAAAGAACAGGGTTTTGAAAATGTGAGCACGGGGAAGGAATGTCCTCCTGTGGGATTAAGCTCCCCATAATCCCCATAAAATGGGGATTATGCTGCTTATGTGAGGCATTCTGACCGTGAAGAAACTGGATTATAGAAGTGATTGCTGCAGTTGGGCAAGGCCTGCAATGGCAGAAATGTGACAGCAGTGGATCAGAAGCAGCAACGTTCTGAATGACAGGCACAGAAACCGCCCTCTGTGCCTTTGGTGTCGTAAGCATGGCTCGGGAGGTTTGGGATCCAGGTATCTGAAACATATCTTTATGTCTTCACGTTGAATAGCGTCTTGCTTTCTTTCGGGAACCAGCCCATAACAAACCAGGGATTGTCGATGCCTTCTGGGAAAACCACACTCTATGTGAATCTGACCAGAATTGACTTTTTTGTGTGCCTAAATGTTAATGGTCAGTGAGATTTGCTGTCAACAATGACAAAGAATCCTGTGGCAACAGATGAAGAAAATGCATGTAAGCTTGATGAAGCAGCAAATTTAGTATTAACAACATTGGTCCAGAAATTATGATTATATACAATAGCTTAATTTGTCATCACTGTGAATAATTAAGTTGAAATGAAATTTTATTTAGCTTGTTTATGAATTTGCTGTGATGTGAGTGAGCGCATGGAGAACTCCTAACTTTGGAGGACGAGATCCTGCCACGTTCCGTTCAGTGGCAGAACTCCCGTTGAGTTCAGCTGTGCTGCGATTTCGCCCTGAACGTTTGTCAGAGAGCTGCTGGGGAGAGCCCTGCCGTGCCGTGTCCACTGTGCTTTACCAGGCCACAGACCGTCTGGTTTTTGTTGGTGAAGTGGTGTTCCATAAAATCTACCAACACCCGAGTGCGGCACTAGCATGGGAGCTCCGTTAGCTGGTTGTCCTGACAATGTGGTTTGTTTTGCTCTGAGCAGTAGTACTTTGATGCATTCCTTTAAACTTAAATGAAAAATCTAATGTCATCAGCCTTGCATTTGCCAATCATAGCTAGAAAAGCTCAAGCCAATATAAAGGGTTTTATTTTTCCTTTTGTTTTAAGTTTCTTAAAGTTTGTCAGTGGAAAGATACTCTTTCCTTTCTTTTTCTTCTAGAAAAAAACACCAACAAAATCTGTATTTAATAGAAAGAATATTTTGTATAATATGCAGAAGCTATAGACAATGAAGAGATGTATGTTTATTAAAAATTCTTGATATACTGCACAAGGTTTACCGCAAGAGAGATGAAAGTTTATCTTTGGAAGTATAAATTTTCACTTGTGGTATAAATTTGCTTGTGGGGTGGCAGTGGTATTGAGGAGAGTTTTTGGGCAAGAAACCAAAATGATTTAAGCACACTGTATGTCATTAAGTAGCTCATTACTTCAGCCCTATGAAAAATGTAGACGTTTTCTGGTGAAAGATGATATAAGAACATCCGCAGTTGTATTTTCTGTTACACAGAGAAAATTACAGGTTTAGCTCTGTTGAGTTTTTGTAGCAATCTCCACAAATGAGTTTGAAAAACTAGATTTCCAAATTCAGAATTTTGCATTTATAAGAAGCTTATACAACTTAAACAAAGGATGATTTTACATGTTGTCTTGGAAAAGATTGAGAGGGGATTTCTGGAGTTCATAAAGGAAAATCTATCAATAGTTCTTACTCTTTAAAATAATCTAAGGAATGAAAGCAAAATACCATCTGTTATTTCCTCTTTGTGTAGCTTTGTTAGTGTGTTATCTGTGTGAAGGCCTCTTGGGTCTGCACATTGTGAGTTTTCAGACTCTCACCAATCATTTTTGAACATGTTTGTCAGTTTTGGCCAATTATGAGAAGAGGATAGAAAATCAGTACCTACAAATTAAATGCAGCACAAGTGTTTGGATGGAGGAAGGATCTACAGCTTCACCAATTGCCGTAAGGGAACCTGTGCCCTTGATTTAGGTTCAGAACACCAGAAATCCTCTTTCAGCTCCATGCAGTTGTCTGTTCCTCAATATATTGAAATAACTCTCCTATGAAGGACAGGATTGTTGTTTAAAAAAAGAAACAAAAAAACCCCCAAACCCAAAAGCAAGAACAACAACACCCACCAAAAAAACCCCAGTACCCACAGAGGCGAGGGCAGTGAGGTGAAAGGTGTGAGAGTAGGGTTGTAGCCAGCTTAGTACTGTTCAGTTGAATTTTCCCATCTGCTTCGAAGACTGCTTTGTAGAGTGAATTTTTGCTGATTTCTGTTCATGAGTTAACATTTATTTGATGCAGAATAAATCCCTGTCATTTAGATAACATAGGAAAAAAGTGTTAGCTGATAATACCTTATGATAAAGTCTGATTTTTAACTATATGGTAAATGATGTATATTCTGTTTCAAATGGCACATTACTTTTTTTAGATGCCATTAAAAATGTAGAATAGAAAGAAATTGGTAATAAAAGCTTGGTGTTTCTGTTGTGTTGTCATCTTGCTTCCAGTGAAGATGGGAGCACCTTTCTACTGTACTAGTTGAAAGAGGTGTTAATGCACATTAACAGAAGAATGAAACATAGCTATGTCTTCTCCAGAGGACTGTTCAAGTAGAATTAAGCACTGTACTGCTTTACAAAATTCGTTGACATACTACTGCTTGAGAAGCAGACCACCCGCATTTGCTTAATAGGAAACACATTTGGCTCCTTGATTGTGTAATGTATGTCAGATCAGGGTATGTGTGTGTATATATTGGTGCACATAACCCAAACATAACGCAGGTTGGGCCAATTTAAGCAGCTTGTAACTTAAGTCATGTAAAATCTGTGGACCGCAGGAAGTCACTACTGTTTCAGCTTCTCATTTGCCTTTAATGAAAATATTGATCTTAATAGCAATGCAGGATAAACAACAAATATATCGTACTTCTGTCTGTCTTAAGGTGGGTGTTGGTCTCTGTCCCAAGTAACTAGTGATAGGATGAGAGGCAATGGCCTCAAGTTGCATTTGGGGAAGTTTAGATTGGATATTAGGAAAAATTTCTGTACTGAGAGAGCGGTCAGGCATTGGACCAGGCTGCTCAGGGTGGTGGTGGAGTCCCCATCCCTGGAGGGGTTCAAAAAACATGTGGATGTGGCACGTCAGGACATGGTTTAGCAGGCACGGTGGTGTTGGGGAGACGCTTGGACTTGGTGGTGTTAAAGGTCTCTTCCAGCATTAATGATTCTATAATAAGCATCATCGTGCTTTAAGTACTGGAGGAAGGGTAGTAAGTTGCTTCCCATAGACAAACTGTTAGCTCTAATGTTTCTCACCAGTGGATCTGTTTTATGAGATGCTGCA